GAAGGACTACGACCATTAGAGGGAGAAGACAATGTCATTGATGATGATGTCGATGACGGTGCTGAGTTGCCTTATGAAGGCCACGGCCTGAGCAAAGCGGTTGATGACAATGAGGAGGAGGAAGAAGAGGAAGAGCCACGTGACGGTGCTGCTGATGGACACGGCGACGGTGAGGCGGAGGACGCTGCTCCCGGCGCGGCGGTGGGATCAGGCAGCAGCCCTGCTGCAAACACAGTGACGCCGAGCAGACTCCTGCGAAGGACACCAGTGACACTTCTACGTCTGCCACAGTTCAGATGTCCGTTGAAGCCAATGGGGAAGTGTCACAGGGAGCCAACCGCACGCAGGCTGATGACAATGCCCCATATGAACCTCAGCCGGCCTCATCACCCCACAACGCAGCAACGCTTTATGGCAATATCTTCGCCAATTTGAAGAACATTACTGGCGTGAGGCTTGATGAAGGAAACAGCGACAGCGCCGTGCGTGGGTGTGTGCCTCGGTTGCCGCTTCTGGCTCTGCTGGGGTTGTGGGGCATTGCGGCTTTTTCTGTTGGATGAAAGGGTGGTGTGGGTTTGCGACGCCTCAGATAATAAGCTTCCCAGCGCTACTTATCACATTTATTCTCTCCTTTTTTTTCTTTTAAAAGCCCCATCTTGATTTCTACTTGCTGCTGGTGCTTTGCTGGTATAATCGGCATCTCATTTTTTTTGTTTTTTGCTTTTTGCTCCAATAGTCGTTTGCCGTACACGCAGCGTCATGGGTGGCGGCCGCATTGCTGTGTGACCCACTGACGACGCAGCCGGCATGTTGAAGCGCAGGCCGCATGCCGCACGAAGTGTGGGAGGGATGTGCGGGCTTGTGGATCACGGCGGTCCTTTTTTTTTTCTATTTGTTTCAGCGCAGGCAATAAATATACACATAGGCGGTCCTCTTGGGCTTTTGGACAGGTGAAGGAAAAGACGCCTGCCGAAGTAATTTATTTATCTTTTTAATCTTTTTGTCTTTTTGGGTGCATTGCTGGACCGACATTCCACAGCCAGGGGTCCCGCTGGACTTCCACTTTTAAAGCGTTTTTTTTTTGTTATTTCACTTAATTTATTTCTTTTGGGGGTAACTCACTGCGGATTTCTTTTAGTTCGTGCCGTGTCCGCCACCGTCGCTGCGTGTCTCCATGTTTTGTTTGCTGCCGCTGCTGGCTGTGCTGCTGACATGCCTTCATTCCTCTTCTTCCTGCTAGAGGCACCGGTAGTCCACGAGGAGGAGTCTTTTATTTTTCCGACGCGATGGCACGGGAGTGGCGGTGCGTGTGGCGGCTGCTTTGAAGGCACCCGCTGCGGAGGGAGAGAATGTGCGGGGTGTGCGGCGTGTCATGTTGCGAGTGTGTGGGGCACCACCCATCGCAGCCTACCGTGCGGTGTGATGCGGATCGGTGAGGGCAAATAGGCAGCAGCGGCAGAGTGTGCGGTGGATGTGGATCCACCCCGTCCTTCGCGTTGCGGGTGTGTGGGTGCGCTGTGCGGCTGGCTTCTCCTCCGCGTGTCTTTCGCCCTCGCACGATGGGGGCGTCGTGCTTCGCCTTTGCGTCGTGGTTTTTTATGCTTCGGTGTGTGAGGGTTCTTTTTTGTTTTGCTTTTCGCCCTTGCATGTGTGTGTGCGTTTTGGGGTGGACGGTGAATGAAGTGTGCGGGGGACGATGGTGCGGCTGCGTCTCGCTGCTGCGTCCTCGAGGGGCGGTGCCCAGTGCTCTGTTTTGTGGCTTCTCTGCGCCGTGCGCAGGCGTCTCCCACGCTGGTGGGCGCAATCCTCCTCTTCCTGGCGCGCGTCTCACTTTCACCCTCCTCTCTTTCTCCTTCTCCTCTTTGCCCCTCGCTAGACTGTGCGTGTGTGTGTGTGCTGTGTTGACAAGAGTGGGGATGGCTGGCCGTGTGCTGTTGGTGTGTGCCCTCTGCGTGCTGTGCTACGCTGCCGGCGGTGTCGGTGCATGGGATTTAGATGGGGGCTACTGCACGGACAAGTCGTGGAAGGTCCTGAGGATTTTTAATTACAGTTTAAGTGATGGCGAGATTTTGGATAAATACTGCAGTCACAACGCAACTTTTGTTGAGCGAATTAAAAAGAGCCTTCCTTCAAGCGAGGCCGCCGAAAAGCCGATTGTTGGAGAGAACGGTGGCTCTCCAAGTGGCGGTGGTAAAAATGGAGAAGCGTTGGGTTCCTCTCCGTCTGGCGGCGTTTCAGTTGGAGCGGGGTCGCAGAACTCCCTGCAAGCACCCGATGAGGGCGGCAGCAGTACGTTGCACGGCGCAGGAGGACCCACACCCTCAACGCAGACGGAGGAGAAGCGTCAATCACTTCCGCAGGAGCAAAAGTTATCATCTCCAACTCCGCAGAAAGTTGAGCAGCCGCCGCCGCCAAAGGCCCCAGCCGAAGATCCGGCAAAAGGGCGAGTGAAAGAAGAACCCGCTGCACGGAACGGAGGTGCCGACGAGCATCCATCAGCAGGCGGCAGGAGCGGGGAAACCAGTGTGTTATCTTCTGCTTCTCCAGGTGGTGGTGGAGTGCCTGCGAGCGGTGTAGCTGAAGGAAAGAGCTCAGAGAAGGCTGTCGAAGACACTCAAAGCACTGCGGCAGCAGCGCCACGAAGTGCGCCACCTGACAATGGTGCCGATGCACCAAACGGCAGTGCGAAGGAAACGGCAACACCGCCAGCTGCCAACGCCGCTACCAAAACAACGAAGGCGACGCATGGCGACAGTGACGGCGGCACCGCGGCCTCGTACTGCACCTCCCCCCTTGCGCTGCTTCTTTTTGCGTGTGCGGCGGCTGCTGCGATGGTGGCGGCGTGAGGGAGCCGTTCGCAGCTCGTCCTTCTCTTAAATATATATATTTCTCTCTCTTTCTGTGTGTCCTCCTGCACGGACTGTCGCCCTCGCCCCACCCCACGAGGTACACACGTAATGTGCTCATGCATACACGCACACTGATGCAGGCCCGTTGGTTTTTAAATTTATTTTGCTTTCAACGCGCTGCCGCTGCCGTCCTGCTTGGCTGCATGGGTAGAGCACCGTAACTGTTTTTATCATTTCAATTGTTTTGGTTTTCGTTGCTTTCGGTGGGCGACCTCTTTCTCCCTCCTTCTTCCTGGATTGGGCTGTGCGGGAAGAGAGGGAGTGTGCGTGTGCTGGTTGTCCCACTTGTTGCTGCGCGTCCCCAATGCTCGGTGGACACCCCACGCTTCGGCTTCACTTCACGGGGTTTGTGTTTTTGTTTCTTTGTTTTTCTCTTTGCCTGTTTGGGTGACTGCGCCTACTTCATATGCTGCGCGTGTGTGCGGAACCCGGCGTGCATTTCTCCGATGTCCCCAATTTCACATGTTTTTTTTTTGTGTTTGCCTCATTTTTTATGGTCGTTTGCAGCTGGTGTTTTGTTGGAGTAATCCGCTCCCCTGATTCCCTTTTCTACTCGAATGGTCGCTTGCGCACACCGCCATGCGTGACGGCTTCCCCTCCTGTTTGCTTTTTTGTTGCCCCCCCGTGGTGGCGGTGGCATTGCTGTGCGCCCCACTGACGATGCAACTGGAAGGTTGAAGCGCATGCTGCGTGAGGTGTGCGGGGTGCGTGCGGGCTTATGCAGCACGGCGGTTTGTTAAAAATTTCGCGGATAACAAACGCATGTCCCGCTTGCGCTTTTGGAAATGTGAGGTAAAAAACACCTGCTGAGGTAATTTGTTTCCCATTTTTTTTTGGTGGCGGGTCTTGCGGGGATTTGCCAGTTTTTATCCTTGGCGTTCTTTTTTATTTGCGTTTTGGGCTCCAGTGCCGCAGCTGCTACCGTGCGGGACTGCGCTGCTTTTAATTCATTCTTTTGCCTGTGCGCTGACGCGCATCCGTTTTGTTATTGCACCGCCTTGCTTCTCTCGCCATCACACACACGAAAGGAAGGAGACCAAACGCTTATCGCCGCTGTGAGCATTGAAAGGCTCTGCAGTCACCACGAGCAACACACACGCACGCAACCGTCGCGGACTGAACAGATCCACCTAAAGGAGGGAAGAGAGTGAGAAAAAAAGTGAGCGGCGACACAAGCCCAACATGTGCCGGCAGTTGTTTTCTCTTTCGAAGTTTCTCCTCTGCTTGTTGCTGATATGCTTCGGCAGTACGGCTGTGCGCTCCGAGGGGAATGGACGAAAGGTGGTGCAGCTGCCAAAAGGTGTCGATCTTTTTCTGCCGCATCGAACGATTGTGGAAGCACATGCTGGAAGTAAAACGAGGGATTCCTTTGTCTCACCTTCCCTTGCCTATTTTGGTGGAGTCTTGGTTGCGCTTGCCGAGGGTCACATCGACATTCGAGCTTCGTATGAGGAATATCCTTCAGCCTATTATGCCGATGTTGTGGCGGGGTACATTAACTCTGCGAAGAACTGGTCGTCTTTTGTTGATGAGGTCAATGCAAACGAATGGAGGGCACATAGCATCTTTAATATGACCACGCAAGACGAGCATGATGTTCGGGTGAGACGCAAGGCCCGACCCACCACAATTGCAAGGGGCAATAAGGTCTTTCTACTTGCGGGGGGCTACTCTCTGAAATATGAGCCTTCATCGGAGAGGTGGATTAAACCCTTTTGGGGTCTCGATTTGCTTGTGGGTGAGGCCACGCAAGATAAAGTCATCCAATGGGGCAAACCCACCTCGCTTGTACCACAAATCGAACCATCTGCTAAACAACTTGACTTGGACCAGTTTGTTGGTGGTGGTGGCTCGGGTGTTGTGATGGAGGATGGCACGCTTGTGTTTCCTGTGACGGCGAGGAGGACAGAAGACAACGAAACTGCCTCAATGATCATTTATTCGAAGGACGACGGCAAAAATTGGTTGCTTTCACAGGGGATGCTCCCCGCACGGTGCTCTGACCCCCTCATCATCGAGTGGGAGCAGGGGCAGCTTGTCATGGTTGCCAAATGCGATTTGCTCTCCAATGTGTTCGAGTCGAGGGACATGGGGGCAACGTGGAGGGAGGCTGTCAGGACACTGACACGCGTGCAGCCCAGGTTTTTACCAAACTCTTTGCGAACAGCTGAGGGAGTGGGGTCTTTCACCACTGCGACCATTGCTGGAAAGAAGGTAATGCTGTACACTCAGAAAGGGATTCCCCCTGGGAGTACAGTGGCAAATACGCTCTACCTTTGGGTTGCTGACAACAACCGCACGTTTTATCTCGGGCCCATTTCCATGGACACTGCAGTGGAGGAACCGTCTGTCAATGCTCTGCTGCACTCTAATAATGCGTTGCATCTTTTACAAGTAAAGGGCGATTACACGGAAAGTAGTCTGTTTTTTACTTCTTTACCGGAACAGCTGAAGACGATTACGTCCGTCTTGGAGACTTGGGCAAAAATGGACTCCTTCCTCTCCAACTCCTCTGTGCCCACGACCGGTCTGGTTGGATTTTTGTCGGATGCATCGGGTGATGGAACTTGGAATGACGCGTACCGTTGTGTGAATGCAACTGTGACGAATGCAAAGAAGGTCGAAAATGGCTTTAAGTTCACCGGGTCCGAATCATACGCCATGTGGCCCGTGAACATGCGCAGGTATCACAATGTGCAGAGCCTTGTCAATCACGAGTTCACGCTTGTGGCGACGGTAACGATCGCTGAGGTTCCGAAAGAGAACGCTCCTCTGCTGGGTGCGGCGTTGGGTATAAGGAAAAACTCGAGGTTTGTGGGGCTATCGTACACCACAGAGAAACGGTGGGGGACAGTCTTCAACGGTATCACTAGAACAATACACAACAGCACTTGGAAGCCGGGGAGGGAGTACCAGGTGGCGCTCATGCTGCAGGGCAACGAGGGCTCCGTGTACGTGGACGGCGTGCTCGTGGGGAATACTAACAAACTACCAACCCTTGAGGAACGCAGGTACCAAATATCTCACTTTTATTTTGGCGGCGGCGAAAACAGCAGTGTGACAGTAAAAAACGTCTTTTTGTACAACCGCCGACTAAGTCAAGATGAACTCAAAGCAGTTAACAGCTCACATGTATCCGAACAACGTGCAGTTGACAGTTCCGATTCAACCGAGCAACGTGCAGTTGACAATTCCGATATGTCCGAACAACGTGCAGTTGACAGTTCCGATATGTCCGAACAACGTGCAGTTGACAGCTCCGATGCATCCGAGCAACGTGCAGTTGACAGTTCCGGTGCATCCAAGCAACGTGCAGTTAACAGCTCCGATATGT